TTGTTATCTACTGCTTTGATCAATGAGGATTTTAACATAAAAACGCGTTTTTCTCCAAACGGGATTTTTTTATACTCGATGTACCTTTTCTCAGGAAACTACTGCTCACAGGTTATAACTTTTTATGGCTTATTTATTAGGTTCCCCTCATATTTACTGAATGAGCTTTCTGTAAAAACTTACAAAAAAAAAATTTTTTTTTAATTTTTTTGTGTGAGAAAAGTGCTAAATTTTACTATGCCTAACAAAATATTCTGCAATTTACTCTAAAATTCAAAATGCTTCAAAAGCTCATTTCAGTATAATCAGATAGGTATACTTTAATTACAGAAAAAATTTCAAGCTTGTATCTACAGCAGAGTTTGAGAAAACGTACATCGAAAATGGCCAATTTAACATTGTCGGTATAGGTTTTTCTGATACCCCTTAATTATAGAAAAGCACTCAAAAGTTATATGCATAGAGAGATGCTTTCACGGAGGACTTTTTAAGGGAACTGGCTCATGGGGAAACGCCCATACATTTACCCCGTTCGCCGAAATTCGAACACCGGATGGAACTACCAGTTTTCAGAGACTTTACCGCTCAGCTGCTGGTGGGACACCAAATATTTAGTAAATGTGCTTTTGTGAATGAAATTTATGGTAATGATGCTTCAGTCACAATAAAATAAGCAGTATTTCAGCCGATCGTTATAAAACCGTTGTTCACAAACTCTCTTTCAAATATTTAGAGAAATTATTTAATATGATAGCTATTTATAACAGTAGTATTTCAATCCCTAAGCCACGATATCAATTAATAACAACGCTCTTCTCAAGATCTCAACGTATATCAGAAAGATTTTCTCTGATGTAATAGAGTAGCCTCTTTTTAACTGAACTCTGAACTTTTGCAATGAAGCTCAGAAAATTCAAATTAAGTATCAAAACGAAAGGTTTTATTTGTCTATTCTTGTGATAAGTTTTATTTCGCAATGATAAAGCTAATCACTTTGCATTTGATTGGTTCGCTGCTTCAAGCATAGGAAACCGATAAAAGTGATTGAAAACGAAACCATAAAAATCCTTAAATATAATTATAAAGTCTTCATGTTTCAAACGGATACCTCAAAATTTTATAGTATTTGACATATGATAAATGCAATTTCACCTGAAATTTACGAATTTTTTCCCAAATTCAAATACCGTTTGCACGTTAATTACATTTAGTTTGATTTCTCTACGTGTTTGGTTTGGTCAGACCTTGAATTTGTTGAGTCATTATGGTTTTCTGAAGGAGGAGGCATGAAAGATATGCAATGCCCTCACCAGGACACGAACCCTGGACCCCTCGAATACGCGTCGAGTTTGCTTCTTGTTACACCATGAAGGCATGCTAAAAGAAAGAAGAAAATAACCTTACATACTCCCCCTTTTAAAAGGCGACTGGGGTTTAAAGGACCCAATCGCCAAATATTGATGGTGATGCATTATCGTCCACCACTTTTTAGTTTGGGCTCTATTTGTAGAGGCATTATATACATGTAATATATCCTGTCGACTCAGAAGCAATGACCAGGAAATTGGAGGCGAAGGCAGATTAAATCTTCAGTTTTATTTTCCGCAATATGTTGCGGCTACACACAATTCGGCACACTAAATGTGCTTGTTCCAAAAGGCTTACATTTTAATAATTTTGCAGTAAGAAAGGAGGAGCAGACCGCAGTCCAGCTAGGCTAAAGCGTATAAAGAAAGTGCGTAATGTTCGGGATGAAATCTTAAGTCAGACTGAGTTATTTTTGGTTCTCAAGCATTTTGATTGGACAGTTAATAGCTAAAATTACTATTGGCTGGTTGTTTTATTCCATTTACGTCATCATCTTACGTAAGAATCGTATGACTAGAAAGTCTCGAAATGAGCAGTGCAAAGAGGGGTTTACTATTTTTAGATTGAGAAGGGAAATTATGTTGCTAGTTTAATCTTTTAACATATTCTTTATTTTTTACATATATATATATATATATAATTGAAATGAAATTTGAAAGTAACAAACATTGGTGGTAAGACCTATTTGGTCTTAAAAATTTTGCTCAAAATGCTGCAAAAATATGAAATAATAGGAGAAATATGTAGTGCGCTCGCAAAATTACCATGAGCTGTGGCTCAGAAAGGTTCACGCAGTTTTTTTTAAAATTAACATGGAAGTTTTTTAAAAATATTAACACGGAAAGGTGAAAAATTGCTTACACGCGAAGTAAAATACAGACATATAACTGTTAAAATAATGTGGGAACATGTGAATGCACAAAAAAAAAAAAAAAGAGCAAATCTTATCGATGTGATATGTGATAAGTTAACTCATATAAAAAAAAAAACAGATCGACGGAACAAGTTAAACAAAATTAAAACAAAATAATTAAAACAAATGCAAAAATTAAAAATTATTACAAAATTACAAAGGAAAATGGTAAATTAGCCCAATTCAACTTCCAACCAGGCTTTTTCAAGGAAAAATAGTTGAATGTCGAACAGGCTAACACCATTACGCGTTCGCCGAAACAGACAATTGAGCTCTTGTTTGACGAAAACATTTTTTTAAATAATATGAATTGTTCCGAAAAAAATTCTTTTTGGAGCTTCAATTCTCTGTTCCAATTTCCCGACGCGTCCGCAGAAAAACACATTAAGGTGTAAGAAAAAGTAAATGCAACTCCGAGCAAAACAATTAAAATCAAATTAAAATTAAAATCAAAATTAAAATCAAAATAAAATAAATAGCGGTCTGCTATTAGTCAAAATATACAATAACGTACGGGCTGGTCCTGCTAGCTTAAAGAATAAATATACATATATATATTCTTACGACCCGATTTTTCTGAAATATTTCTCAGGTACATATTTGCGATGACAATAAAATATACCAGAAGAATGTTTTAGTTAATCTTAAATTCTAGCATACACTTGCTAAACTGTCAAGCTAATCATCGCAGTATTTCCATCCTTACAATGGATAGGTTGAAACATCACTTTTCAAACAAATGTTTTTCACAATTTTTAATGCAATTTATCATAGCAGTATTTTAGTTAACCTACAATCACTACAATGATGGATATTTAATCCCTCATTGTAATCAGCCTCATGATTTTTAGTGATTATGAAATTCTATCCCTAAATGAAACATGTTTCCATGAACTGAATGTGAATATACGCCATTGGACTGACAAGAGCCTGAAAGCAATGACATAGCACACATTTAATTCCCAACCTGATAAGAAGAAATCATTTTCTAAGAGATTGGGAAAGAAAGTGATTTTCTTTCATTATTAATTTTCTTGATATTGTTAACTAAAACGAATAAAATATATAAAAGAGTTAAGTTACACAATTTTAGTTAAATGCTGAAACATGTTTTCTGCATTATCTTTAGATCACTTTCGAATTTATGTTCAGAGTTCTTATTTACCTGTCAGCGACCTTTTTTCCTTGGAAAAGTAAATATGTTTTAGAGGAGGGGGGAGTGAAGGAAACTGAAAAGGAAAAGGAACAGTACGAAGAATGAAAAGATGGACTTCATTTCACGGAACAAGTGTTCTAAAATTTGTTTAGTTCTCTTTTTAAACGCAAGCTAGAAAAATATTTGCATAGCTTCTAGTCTTAACAATGATGAGAATATGGAATGGTGATTCAACGTTGTGCATCGAGTAAAGAAACTGAGCTCATTGAGCCGGGTAACAGAGTGGATATATATATAAATATATTTATATACATTTAGCGCGGCCGATTGCAACCAAATTGCGAGCAGATTTACATGTTATAGCAGTCGTATATACAAAATTTCAACCTTCTGAGGCTACTCGCTTTTGAGTTATGCGAGATACATACTACGTAGGTACAGATACCACAAAAAAATTCTCTTCAGAATTCATTTTAAAGCAGTTTTATTATTTTTTTGGAGGAAAAGAGTCTTTTACAGCCAGTCAGTCGTGATATCTATACATCCTTACGTACAGATGTCATGCAAAAACATCGTTAAATTGCATTCGATAGCGGTCAAAATGGATATTTTCGTTGAAATATGCTTGAAACTTTTCGCGATTACAATACTTCCTTTTTGCTTCGTACAAGGAAGTTAATAAAAATTTAAAAATATAAGAGGTTTCATATTTTAAATTACGTCTAAAGGGGAATTTTTCAACATTTTGTCTGTACCTTTATTCATTAAATATCACGTTCTTCTCACTTAAACCATAAAATTCAGTTCAAGAGCAACATCGCAAAATAGTTCTGAGCATATCTTTAGAATTTTCGATACAGAGTCTGGGCGTTGGAGATAAAAAAAAAATTCTATACAACGTTGCTATTGTTCGCTTTGAAATCCTTGAGTTTGTTAATCAAAAATTCCTTAAAGTGTTGCAAAATATGAAATCGATAATAAAACATATTCCAAATTTAGGCTTCCACATGCCCATATTCGCAGTCATTAAAAATTCGATGGCTGTATGTACCGTTGTTTAACACAATGCGAGAAATATACATACATTTATGCAGATTTTTCATTATTTAATTTCTTTAAATATAATGCAGGACTCTAACATTGGGTGGCAACAGTATGAAAAGTGAAACGGACATTTATAGTGAACCAACTCAAAATCGCAAAACGAAAACAATAGTCTTTCAGGGACAAAGCCCCTTTGGACTAAAATGTATGTAACTAATAAAAACAATTCAATATTGAGCAAATGTCAATTAAAGTTTACATAAATGGAATAAATATTTAATTATCGAAATGCAAAACGGTAAGAAAATTCTTCTGGTACAGTTTTATGGAACATAAAATAATTTACGTGGAAATTCCAACTCCTTGAGAAATGAATTCATTATTTGTTAGTCTTTAAAATTTTGATTTTGTAGAGTATTGTAAATTTTGTCCTTCGTAATTTTATTCGGAGAATATTTGTGACTAGTTAAGCTCACATTGTTGTCAAAGTAATAAGTATTCTATGGCAAAATTACTCACCGACATTCAAAGCCGTGATCGCCATTTTCTGTACAGTGGCCATGCACACAAGGATTTGGACTGCATATTTCTGGAATAAAATATGCTTTGAGTCAAAAATATAAATTATATTAATACACAAGATATTCCATGAACGTGGCTATAAGAATTATTTCCCTGAAATTTCATCTCAGATAAGCTATTCAGAAAAATACCTGTTTTCTACTTCGTAAGCAAAGTTACTATTCAGTAATATGTGCCTTTGATCTCAATATGAATCATTTCAATATCCAAACATCGTGTAGAATTTTCTAAAACTGACGAAATGTTACCGCCTTCGTAGAGCTAAAATTTCTATTTCTGAAGCATCCATTCTTCCGCAATAAATAAAATACAACATAAGGCTTGGAAATTCACAGATACTCCAGAATAGATACGCTTATTTAAATTATTTTTCACTACCAAGCACGCAAAAATAAATAAATAAGTAAATACGTTTTTAATAAGAATGCTTTCAGACTTTATATTACGCTTAAAGGGACATTTTTAGTTCCTTGTACGATGTAAAGGGAGTATTGTAAACACGAAAAATTCCGGGTATCATACTTCAACAAAAATATCCATTTTGACGGCTATTAAATGCAATTTAACAATGTGTATAAGGGAATTTTGTGTATAAGGGAATGGAACGCTTTATATTGTAATTAACTCTTTAAAGTGTAATGAATATTTTATGCAGTGGAATTTTTGCTAACAAAGAAATTCTAAGAAAAATACCTGATTTGTGCTTTGTAAGCAAAGTTACTATTCAGTAATATGTGCCTTTGTTCTCAATATGAATCCATGAAATACTCAAAAATTTTGTTCCGTAATTTCAGCCTAAATTTGAATGAAGAATCTTTAATTTTTAATTTTTATTTTTATTTATTAGCCCAGAATGGCTATTAGTCTCGAAGCGGCATTTTACTTCGAATCTCTATCAACGAATGTATGACTTTTCAAATAGTTGCCACCAAATATTATCGCCGTGTATTATATTTAAAGAAATTAAATAATGAAGAATTTGCATGTATGCGTTTTCATATGGATGTGTTTTCATAATGCGAAAAAGCAACGATATCTAGAGCCATCGATAAACACCGATGCCTGATCATGAAGAAATTGATCTCACAAGATCTACCAGAAGACGCAGAAGTGATACGTTTTGCTGACGATCTCATGCTACTTGTAAAAGTAGTCTCACTTGAAAACGAAACAAATATCAGGAAATAGTCGTAGTGATGGATTGTTGAAAGAGAGAAGAAAATCTGTAATTTAATCTCGACAAAATTTCAGCAATATTATATCCCAGAGGAGGAACTCGTATAAGAAATCCGAGGCTCCTATATAACGGAACACAAATAAAATTCGTAACAAGCATGAAATATATGGGAGTAATCATAGACAACAAACAACAAACTGTCATTCATAAGAAAAGTGAGGGAATTTTGAATTTCTATAAACGCAATGTTATACGGGACGCTTTTAGCAAGAAAAAGTAATATAATACTCTAAAAACGTTACAATTCCAATCATCATAACTGGTACTGGAGTATGGGGAACCACAGCGTCGGAGCTACAACGCCTAAGAATGAAATTAGATACAATATAAGGGAATGAAACGCTTTGTATTGTACTTAACTCTTTAAAGTGTAATGAATATTTTATGAAATGGAACTTTTGATAACCTGGTAATATAAAAAGTAGATTTTTTTCCTTCAGTATTTGACAGTCCCCTTATGTTTTCAAAACCATCTTTACCTTACATTAAAAAGATCGCAGTTGGAAAGGAATAAGTATTCCCAAAATTAAAACCTACAACCATTTTTTTTTTCAAACATTTTGTACATAATGATAAGACAAGCGAAACTATAACAAATAGTTCAAATATTATTTACATGATGCAGACCCATGCATTTGATGCACATGGTCTTTGTTAAGTTGCAGTTAGTACTGTTATAGCCCAAAACGTTAATTACTATAACATCAAAAATTAAGGGCAGAACTGGGAACAGCAATAGATATAAATTTCATCCATGAATGCACATCTATATTTTTTGTCCATGAATTTATCTTTCGCTCCAAACATTTTAAATTTTAAAAAATGCTGTAACGACCAATGAACAGTTATCTTACGTAACTATAAAAATAACAAAATCCGGTGAAACGGAGCAAGATAAGTAAATTTTGAAGACTTTTGCCTCTGTGAATAATGCATCCAACAACGCAATTCGAGTGCTTTTTGATGTAATCTTTCCAGATAAAAATATTTCCCCAAATCAAACATTGAGGAAAGAAACAGTTACCGTTGCCAGCGGTAACGCAGAAATCTTACCGGTTTACTGCTAGATAAGACTTTTCAAGAATAACAGTCTGCATACAGTATAAAACTGACAGATGGGGATTACGGATGCTTCCAACGTAACATACAGAGCTTTTTCTGAGAAATTTTATCACTAGCAATCCGGAATGAGTTTGTAATCAATGATATACCGCAAAATGTGTCAACAACTCTTTGTTTTCGCAACTTTGTGGAACGCAATGTTTATCTATTAATGTAATAAATGAAACTCAAATATAAGTTTTTTTTTTTTTTTTTTTTTTTTTTTTTTTTTTTTTTTTTTTTTTTTCTAATTCATTTACACATTTGAAATTTTACTGATGTATTTTAACACCTGAAAGAACACGTTATCGTTTTCACAGGATTCAACAAAACAGTTTAAACTTTAAAATCATACAGTTACATATATGGATAAAACCAAAATGTTTTAAAGTTTAGCGATTTTTGGCGGCTTTTCGACAAATATGGCGACAAAAATTAGTCGTCAGAACTATCTCCGCGGTAGTTCTGACACTGATGATGAATCTATGGCACGCGTGTCACAGTTGACACTCAGAGCCTCATCAGCTGGCACGCGACTAAAATATTACTTCCTTAATCAATAATCGCAATAAAATGATACTATGTAATTTAGTTTTTAGTCTGTTCTTGAACGTGACTTACTTATCGCATAATGCCACTGCCATAGGGCCTAAGCATAACCCTAGCCTATAACACCAACCACAAAGATCGTTCCCAAACTCGATGAAGCTGAACAGAAGGTCTTTATTGAAAGGAAATTGAGGAATTATAATTACCAGAAAGTTGGTTTTTGCAATTATCTTTCCGCAACAAACCATCTAACAACTGCCAGCTTTCAAATTTCACTGTGCCATCCAGAACATAGTAAACCACTCTCCGATGGGGATCTAATCAAAGAGGTATTGGGCACGCGGGCTCAAACAAAAAAGTTTTGGGCACGAGGCCTCAAACAAGTTCGCTACCACTGCTCTATAATCTTATTTTTCCGACAGAGCTTCACGTTCTCGAGCCAGTTCATATTATACAAAGGATGCTACGATTTATATATAATGCTATTAAAATTACTTGCGTATATACAAAATTCGCAATAATTTATTATTTAATTCCGTTTAATCTTATTGCCCAATCTCAAATTGTATATATTACCGATAACGTGCGAAAGTCGTTAATGTGCAGATTAACTGATTTGCTCCGTTAAAATGGGGAATTAAGAGTTTTCAACATTTTCACTAGGTAATGTGAACATAAACGGCTTTTGCATCGTTAAAGTTCTAAAGCTTGTTTCTCTCATTTCTTTTCCCTCTCCCTCCGCTTAGCATATTACCTACTAGACACTCGCTTATCTGCACATTGCGTACTAGCTCTCGTTAAACTGAAAATAAGATCTTAACTGGAACAACAGCAACAGGAGCAGATACGCTTAAATTAACATAATGATATTTATTTATTTTTCGATACCTAAAAATCAAGTTAATGTAATCGAACAGTTAGTAATTCAGTTGATAGAATCAATCATCAATAAATTAAAAAACTATAATACAAAGAATAAAACGGTTTAAATTATTATTAAGGAAATGAATTATTATTATTATTGTTATTATTACTATTACTATTATTATTATTATTACTATTATTAATATTAGTCCAAAGGGGCTTTGTCTTGTTTTGTTTTTCGATTTTGCGTTAAAAACTTTAAAAGGTTTCATCACTTTTCAAATCGTTGCCACAAAATACTATCGCCTTATATTATATTTGAAGAAATTAAATAATGAAGAATCTGCATAAATGGATGTATGTTTCTCGCATTGTGATAAAACAACGGTACCTAGAACCACCCAATTTTGAATGACGTAATCCTACTGCTAATATGGGCATCTGAAATACCAAATTTGAAATTTGGAATGTGTTTTATTATAGATTTCATATTTTGTAAAACTTTAACGAATTTTGGATTAACAAACTCGACGGTTTCAAAGCGAGCAACGGCAACACTCTACGGGGGGAGAGAAACCTTTTTATCTCTAGCGCGCGGAACTATGTATCGTAAATTCTAAAGATAGCTTTATTTTAAAATTATTTGCGACATTGCTGTTGAACTGAATTTTATGATTTAAGTGCGAAGAACACGATATTTAATAAATAAAAGTAACACACAAAAGGTTAAAGAAACGCCCCTTTAGACGTAATTTAAAATCTGAAACCTTTCAGATTTTCAGAATAGATAATTTAAAATCTGAAACCTTTCAGATTTCAGATAATAATAATAATAATAAAATCTGAAACCTTTCAGATTTTTATTATTATTATTATTATTATTATTATTATTATTATTATTATTATTACTATTACTATACTACTATTATTATTATTATACTATTATTACTATTATTACTATTATTATTATTATTATTATTACTATTATTATCATTAATTACTATATTACTATTTTACTATTATTACGACTATTATTACTATTATTACTATTATTATTACTATTATTATTACTATTATTATTATTACTATACTATTATTACTATTAGTACTATTATTATTACTATTATTACTATTACTATTATTATTATTATTATTATTACTATTATTACTATTATTATTATTATTATTATTTATTATTATTATTATTATTACTATTATTATTATTACTATTATTACTATTATACTATTATTACTATTATATATTTTATTATTATTATTATTATTATTATTATTATTATTATTATTATTATAGCCCTATTCACACTATGTGAAAACACTAGTTTAAATTGTCAGCCTTCAGATTTTTAAAAATCAGACCTTTTAAGAAATTTCTTTACCACTTAACCACAAGCAAAACATAGCTGCTACCGCAACAAAATTCTACAATGCATTTTTCTCTAATGTTCTATTGGTCTCACTCACATTAGTCTCACTCACATTATTCTTCAGTCTCACTCACATTATCGTAACTCCCAAATAATTCACACATATTGTTTCACATAATGAATTTTGCATTTTTAAACGGAAAGATAAAGGCAACATTAAGTATTCTACAAAACATGAAGAGGCAAACAAAGAAATAAATGATCGAAGTGGAAATCATGTTTATAAACAATGGACTACTCACCAACACAAGATTCTTGATTAGAATCTATGTTGACTCTGTATCCAGGTGAGCATGAGCAAAGGTAACTGCCTATTGTATTTGTACACTGTGCGTGTGCTGGGCATGGATTTCTCTATACATTCATCAACATCTAAACAAAAAACAAAAAAAAAAAAATATATTATTTATCGTTTTTTACCGGGATTTCATTTACTTAATATTCAAATCAAGATATATGAAAAACATGATAAATGTAATAAATATAATAAAAGATATTTCCAAAATCGATAAATGTGATGACATCGGAAACGTTGAATTTAATTCTAAACAGTTTTGATAGGAAAGATATTTCCGACAAATTTATAATTTTTATTGTAAAAATAAGAATGAAAGCTCACGTTTTATTAATGTGTATTATGTGATTGAAAATATTCTTTCTGTTTTCGGATGGAAACTACTTGTGGATTTAGCGTTGCGCATGACATTGCGCATGACTGGCATTTTCGATCGGTCAAACGTGTAGGCAAACGGCGTACGAAAGCAACGTGCTTGTAAGAGTAAATTACACTAAAAAAATTTCAGATAGTTTAAACTAGTAAATTATGAGAAGCACATAACACATTGTTAGGTGCATGAGTTTCACAAACTCAGTACTGCAATCTTAAGTATGCCGAAACATTTGTCAAGCTGTTAACTTTACCAGACGTTCGTTACAGAAATTTAGGGATGGTTATAATCACTATAAAGATCAATCTTGCTTCAGGCAAAAAAAAGATGGCATTTAAGCAGATCTTGGAATGAGTCACATCGAACGCCCAACATCCATCTGCACATAAATTAATAAAACTACATATACAGTAAACAGATACTACATACAGTAAACATAGTAAAACAGATACTACATACAGTAAACATAGTAAAGTATACAGTAAAAACAGATAAAAGATTAAAGCACGCATTGGAATTCATCAGAAAGCAGAACAAGTGAGTCCACATCAGCGAATGAAAACTAGTATTTATATATTTCTTTGTCATTCCAGAAATGAATCATTTTTCTTAACCAATGGTAGCAGTTGATAAAAAATTTATAAAGTAATGTGAAACTTCGAAGGACTCTGTGTCGTGTACCTTTGTGGTACGCGACAAGCAGTCTAACTTATCAAGTGTTTAGAGCCTGCTGTATCCCTCTGAAGGAAAGAATGCATTCCGAAAAGTGTTTCTTAGATAAATGGTGGTATATAAAGGGAATACGTTACTGGGAGTTGCTTCAACATAACCAAATCTTTAATGTTGACGTGCAGTGCTAACAGTTGTACGTCAACATTAATGGTTTGGCTAATAGCCAATAGTTGCACATTTTTGTCAAAAACTGTATAATTTATCAATCGTAAATGTGCTATCTTATTAGATGATACGCCCAGATTTCATGCTGCTGTAATGGGTTAGATAAAACCAACGGACTTCGGTTGGGAAGCTTTATCGCATCAAGCACATTCCCCAAATTTTTTCTCCTTTTGTCTACTATCTATTTTGATAGTTTCAAATTTCTTTGGACTTCAAACCTTTGATGGTATACAAGATACGAAAAGATCTTACAAAGTTTTCTTTTTTACTGTAAATTAGAGGAATTTTACCGACGAGTGATTTATTTATTACAACTGAAATGGCAAAAGATCGTACAAAGTGCTTATAGTTACGTAAATATAAGGTGTTTCTAAATGAGTATCGGGGTTTAAGAATTGGTAGTATTTATTACGTAAAACCTAAAATTATAATTAATACATAAAATGAAAGACCAACTCCAACAGTTATCCTACAAGCTTACAGGTATTCAATGTGTACACCTTTCCTCACAAGGCACACATCAAATCGATAGCCCAGGTCTTCGCAACCGTTGATTAGTGTTTGTGGTGTAATTGTTACAACAGCTGCCTTAATCCTGTTTCTTAGATCGGGTAGGTCAGCTGTTAGTGGAAGCACATTATACACATCATCCTTTATGAACCCCTACAGGTAGAAATCACCTCAACCTCTCACTCGCTCAACACTCTCTTCACTAACCCTTGGTCGTCCGGTCTCATCCCTTTGCAAAGGCAGTCGGTATTTTCAAGCTGTTGAAACAGTCTACGGATGTTATTATCACTTGGGGGATCACAGCTGAACTTAATCCAGAAAGCACGTTTCTTTCTGCAAAAAGCTTCCTGTTAACTAGTCGCCATTTTTGCTACAAACAGAACTGTTTGAGTCGCTCTTTCATTTCATGTTTAAATTATGATTTTAAGTTCTACGTAATAAATACTACAAAGCGTTAAAACACTGATATTCATTTAGAAACACCCTGTCAATAGATAGACTGCTTTTTTTATTTTATTTTTCATCTAAAAAACGGGTATGCTTTGTTGTTCTGCAGATACTAAAACGCTTTTAATCCATCTAAGTTAGATCATATCTTGTGTGATACTTAGGATGGCAACAAAAAATCATTGGCTAATCTTTGGAATATGGTAACAGGTAGTTTGGCGACATTTTGGTAAGGCGATAAAGCTTACTAGCTAGGACTTTAGCAGTGTACATGGATAAAGTCAAGAGTGTGCGCAATCCCATTTTTGTACAATTCTGGAATGTTTAGGTGAAAATAGATCGACGTGTACATGGATACCGTATATGTGCAATTCTTAAAAACGCGGCAAGCAGTGGGCGATTCTGCACTTTTTCCCAATTTCCCACCTAATCTTCGTCATGATTAAGCACTTTTGTTCCATAGAAGTTCTAGCATAAGCGTAATTCGGCTAGCAGATTGTTGGAAAAAAATGTTGATTAAAAAAAAAAAAAAAAAGACGCCTTTTCTTCTTGAAAACAAAATGGCGTCCAAAAACAAACTAGCAGGTTGCTGCAGCAGGATTGGTCGCCAAAATTTCGCCAAAAATCGCCAAGTTACCATAATCTAAAGATTAACCAAATCATTTTTGCCACAAGTTCCACTGGGCACCTAAGTTCTGATAACTTTTCGTGTAATTGATTTATGTTCTGGGTGGTGCAACATTCACTCCTTTTGTTGCACAATCTCTATTCAAATTAGATGGTCAAAGGCAGCGGAACTATTACTATGGGGAAAAGCATTAGGACAATCTGAAGATTACTTGGCCCCTCCTTAGAGTCAAACTTTGATTATTTCCTGATAATTTTAGTATAAAATCTATGTTTGATTTGATTTACGATTAATCATAGCGTAGTGATTTAAAATCAGGGTCATATTTTTCGATGATCTTTCATAAATGCTCATAATTTCACCTTCTGATATACGTTTTTTTTTTTTTTTTTTTGTTTTTTTTTTTTTGTTTTTTATTTTGCTGAGTGTAACCTTCAGTTATTTTTTCCCCTTATTTTTTTTCTTAGTTCTCCAAAAGTTGTTTCTGTAAATAAAGATAAGAATGTTTACTGTTATAAAAAAACAAGCTTTAGAGGAGCTGCTGTTAACGAGATTGAGCTATCAAACGAATGTTCATGAAGTTTCAGTAGCTTTTCCATATTTTAATCAGCCACTGTTGTTTAAAATATGGAAAATGTTCCTATCCTTGTAAAGCCTATATATTTGATCATTCTCTAAATCGATAAAATTTTATTCAAAATCTAGGTAAACTAAATTTCCTTTTTTCCCCCCTAATTTCATACTTCACTGCTGGTATTGCTGAAGAGTTAGATCCTTCCTCATCTATTAAATATTTTTATTTTTAATTAAGATTATTTAGTTTATTTCAGTTTTTTGTTCTTTGTTTACTTAATCGGGAAAGTAAATTTAATTTTGGAAACACAGATTTTTTTTTTCAAAACTTAAATCCAAAGCATAAGGGATTGTGTTTTGTTGTTATCTTTTTCAAGTCGTCGTGATTTCGTTTCATTCATATTTCAAATTACAGTTATCACATTTTTATAGTCTCTATCGAAGTCTATTGCTAAACTCAGGTTTAAACTCAATTTGAAAAGAGCTTTTGAATTATGCTTAGGAAACTTACTACGATAACTTTAGTAACACTTTGAGTATATCATACGGTTACGATGGCAAATTTCTTTTATCCAGTATGGAGGTAAACAATGGAGGTAAACATGGAGGTAAACAAGTTTTGCATCCCTACCTGCAGCCTAATGCAAATAGGGTGACAACCCGTGGTCATACTCTGCAAGCGGCAGGACCTACCTCCATGGCTACGGAACGGGGGCCTCAATTCCGCAGCGCACACTTTTTATAAAATCTCTCTCTTAATCACCCAAAGGCTGAACTGGGCACCGGACGCTCGTCAAACCACGGGTCTCAGAGACCACCCCATGGGGAGGTGATCAATTTGGCAATATGACTGGCCGTTAATAATGCCCCGTCAGTATTACGCGGGCTGCCAGTCTCCGGAGGACATTAGCCGCAATACTCGGACCAGGCAAGCTACCAGTACCGCCGCTTTCGATCCGAAGGTGTAAGCGATCTTCCCTCGGGTTCTGGAACCTTCAGTTTCGTAATTTTTCTTCCCCCAGAGCGCTACTGCCATGATAGATACCAAGTCAGTGTATATGTTACCGTGAAAGACCGAAATTGGAGAATGTCGACTTTCACCGGAGAATATCATCATTCACCAAATACGTCGGTGAAAGATCGAATATTTCACTACATTCTTCTATATTCGGACCCTCACCGGTGTATGTCGACAATCACAGACATGCTCTGGTGAAAGTCGAAAAGAGAGGTCATAAAGTGCCATAATAGTTTAAGTTGTTACAATAAATAAGATTTGAATGACATAATTTAGTAAGTTTTTTATTACTGTTATTTTATTTTCTCATTTAGAACGTACTGTATAATTAAGTTTTTAACTTCTATTATTTTCCTTTCTCATTTAGAATGTATTGTATGTTTTAGGTTCTCATGTTTTTAAGTTCTTATTTCAAGTCTCAAGTGCGTTTATTCGCAACTGAATTACGGAGAAGAAAATATAATATTGTTATATGTTCAACATTCACCATTAGTACATGGTGAATGTCGACATTGACCGGTGTAAGTCAGAAATAAGAGTATTTGGAAAATATTTCGGACATACACCAAGAGACTATGTGAATGTTGACATTCACCGGTGAAAGTCGACATTCTCCAGATTTCGGTGTTTCACCGTAACATATACACCACAACGGGAAAGTATGGAGGTAAGAATTATTGCATATGAAAAATTATCTAATACAGAAATTAGACATTATCTATCGCTATTAGTGATATCTGTAAGCCGTCATAGCAAACAGGAAAAAAAAAAGACTGGAATTCGTCAGTGCATTGGAATCCTGGAATTCAGCTGGAAATCAGTTTAAAAAGTTACAGTTCACGAATTTTAGTTTACCTTTACAGATTTCAATGAAGGTTTCGGAGTCATCAACTGGATAAATCTTGCTTCTTGCAGTAAACCCAGTTTTGCAAGTACAGCTGAAAAAGGTTTTGCTCTCCTGGCTCCAACAAGTAGTTTCTGATCCACAAAGGTCTTCTTTGATATCTTTATCGCAAGGATTAGTCTTCTGTATAGTCACTAAGAAACAAAATGTGGTTTTTGAGACTAACCATGATTTTTTTACATAAAAAAATAATCATGTTGCTTTTAACAAAGAAGCACTGTTATGAAAACTATCAAAATTCCTAATGGATACGGTAATTATTATAACATAATTACAGATAAAAGTTTTAGTGATAACATATTACAACGATAACATTTATTATCTATAAAGTAATTAAATGAACATAATTTATCCGATTTATGTGTCATATAAAGAAGAAATTTCAGTTCCAGTAAAGGGTCACTGAAAGATTAGCATATGTTTGCCCATTTTCTTTTGCCTTTGAAGAACACATTTTTAAATATTTGTTAATGAAATTTACTCTACTCTACAATAAAACATTTTTAATTCATAAAATAAAAGTACCTTAGTTTTTGTTAAAAAAATAACAGCAATTTTATTTTGCATATTCATTTAACACCAATATACTTATTTCAAATTATATATGAAAACTACATTTTTAAAATTATGCATGGAAATTGAAAAAAATATACATATATATTTAAGATATTGCGATAGCGAGTTCTTACATTTCTGAAAAATTGTTACTATGATATTAATTAATCATAGATTCTAATATTACGTTAGATGAACTTGTTAAAATAGTGTGAATTAATAGTTAATTCTGTGCTTCTTTACTTTTCTATAATCTTCCTATACCAGTAGAAGGAAATTTATATTTCATTAATTTAAAGCTGAACATGTTTGAAAGTAATACACCATACACAAAAACTAGCTTTTCGGTAAAACCTTGCTCGTTATTAAGCTGTGATTATATTTTTAATATCAACTCTCAGATAAAATTACATAAACAAACAAAACGACACATATGTAGTATTTCATTGAGTGAGCATGTAATTTGATAATTACAGGTACGTTACTAAGAAATGTCTTTAAACATTTTTCTCCTTACACGGTATTTTTCTGCCTTCTCCATTACATGCTGTCGTCATGTAACCGATTACACATCCGCTTACCATCTGAAGATCCGGGGTTCAAATCTCGGATAAAGCCCAGCTAATTTTTGAAGTTTCCAGCTCTGAACCTAGTAATTCTACAGTGACCCCCAAAGTTGAGCTCAAATCTAGGACTACGAAAATGTGAGATTCGCCTTTTATTGACTGAGCTAACTGTATATCATTATTTGAGCACCACTATAGAGTTAATTTTTGGAACAGGAAACGTGAAATACAGCTCTCCGGAATTCGAAATCCAGATTTCCGAACTGAGAGGCCAGACGAATCAAACGAATCAAACACCAGACGGCTTGCTACCACGTATACTGCGAAGGCACAAGAAAAGGGGGTAATTGCTTACATCCTATTTCAACTTAAGTCCATTTTCGTTTATCAGTAGCCTAGAAATCAAAAATATATGACACAAGACACCTGTCTGTGTCTTCAGCGGAAAACTACTTACATCCTATTTAAATTTAAATTCACTCTTATAAATCAGTAGCCTAGAAATCAAAAGTATATCACACAAGACAAATGTTCGATGTGTTGCAGGGGGAAAATTCTTACATTCTATTTCAACTTAAATCCATTGTCATAAATCAGTAAGCCAGAAAGGAAAAGTATATGACACAAGACACCTGTCCGTTTCATATGTATGTACCTATATTTGTATTTTTATCTGGTATTCATGAGAACAAAGCGACAAGGAATGGAACTGTAGACAACGGAATATTATTAGATTATTTTACTAAATCTTAAATGCCTATCTCCCTTAAATTATTATAGAAATATAAAAGTATCTTTAAATACCACAGTTTCCCTTTAAAAGTCTTGCACGGGGCATCCCTCCGTTTCCATGTAGCACTTAATGGGGAAGCACGTAACAAAATAAAAAACATAAAAAATTCTGCACATTTTTCTTATATGGTTTCATTCTAAATTTTTAACATTTGGACAAATGATCGATTTGGCTTCTCGAGTTTTCCAGTCATAGAGATGGTTTAGGTTAGAAAATATTATTCATAATAAAAAGTTTGCAAAGTACGACTAAGTATGAATATAAAGTACCAGTAAATATTATTTTTCTAAGTATGAAAAACTTTGTAAAGTACAAATAAGTGTAAAATTATAGAGTACTAATATAATACATTCAACAGCGTCGCAGTCGTAACAAACCAAAAATGCAGTACTTAACAGAATTATCTAATCTAAGAACAGGGTCCGGATCTTAAGAATGTATTGACAATGGGGGGAAAGGAAGGGGGGGAAAGAAACTGAAATAACAATGATATCTCATTTTATTGCAGTAAATATAGCGAGTCTTGGAATCTAACCTGATTTTAAGTGTTGCGTCGACCTACATCAAACCCCCACACATCATCTAAGTAAAGAATTTTAAGATATCTGATAATTTATCCAATAACTGACAATATTGTAATTTATAATACTTATTATTGTGATAGTACTATATCGAATCCTAAGAAATGTACTTCATATAAGAAGAATATGACATGATTCTGTATTGAAAACTTTCATACTGCACGACCTATGACTCCCCAACGTTCTGACACAATCTTAAAAAGGATCCGCAGTATATATACTAAGATCTTGAATCTAGAAATCAAATTTGCATTTAAATGCTAAATAAAATTAATATAGATAATCTAATAAGTTTAATCGATTGAATAATAGTTGCAAACAATTTTTGACATATTAAGTTTTTAATTTGTATTAATTTGTAGGGTCCACTTGTTTATCTTCTAAGTGACAATTGGATGTGTAGCAAGTTCTTGTAGGAACTACACAGGAGAAGGGTTAAAAGTACCCTTTATTAAACTGTTTAAAATTTACAATGCGTCAACTCGACGCTAATACACTACGCCTGCCTTTAGAGGTAACTGAAATCACAGAACTAAACAAAAACAAAAAATTCGAAGACGTTCACAAGTAGAACGAACTAAGCTACAGCAGGCATTCCTGTTTCTTAAGGGGTATCAGAAACCCATATACCGATAATGTTAAATTGGCCATTTTTGATGTACCTTTTCTCAAAATCTGCTGTAGATACACGGTTGAATTTTTTTGTGTAATTAAAGTATGCCTATCTGAGTATCTCTGAAATGAGCTTTTGAAACACTTTGAATTTTAGAGTAATTTACAGAATATTTTTTTAGGCATAGTAAAATTTAGCACTTTTCTCACACAAAACAATTTTTAAATTTTGTTTTCTTAGTTTATCACAAAAACTTCATTTCAGTAAATATTGGGAAACATAATAAATAAGCCATAAAAGTTTTAGATACCAGTGAGCAGTAGTTCCTGAGAAAAGGTACATCGAGTATAAAAAAATCACGTTTCGAGAAAAATGCGTTTTTATGTAAAAATCCTCATTTATCAAAGCATTCGATGACAAATTAAAACGAGATTGTTTACAGTTCTAATTTTCAAAGAGATTAAAGAATCGTATTTTTAGAATAAAAGCGTAGAGAATTTGAAAATGTAAAAATCCGAAATCATCATTTTATGAAGATTTTGGGGTTCCAACACCCCTTAAACCAGCGTCGAAACTAGTGGCAGCACCGTAAATGCTGTAAGCCATGTAAACCAGCAATAACCCCGGCAGTAGAAGCTCACGCTACAGAGGTGACGGCAATAGCCTAACTCTCCTTCTAAAACCCGGTATTTAAATTTTTTCTCCTCCAAGTAGAATTTGCATTCCTTCACATGCACTACCAAATTTAAATATTCTGCCATTGACAATTAGGGAAATGAAGACTTATAGGAAAGTATGTGAAATTAAATAAAATTGGTTATTTAAAATAAATATAAATCCCTACAAACTTTTAAATTTTTACTATACTCTGTTACCTCATTTCTTACTCATCTGTCCCCATATGTAGACAATTTTTAATTAAATAGCTACTAATTTAAATTAATATTTAGCTAAGTTTACCTACATCTGGCTAGATCTGAATCAGAACTATACTGGTTAGAATTCGACTGACAGTACGCATGGAGCTGCAAAAAGAGTGTTTTTGGATCTTTTAACGTATCTCAATGTCTATCGTAATTAATTGCAGTGCGTACGGTTACATGTTTCGTACGTAATTAGAAATGCATATCAATTAGTTTAATCTATTATTTGTACAAGTATAAAGAAGTAGCGTTATTAATGCACTAGTTAGGTTCTCAGATTGAAATATTCGAATACGTAACACAATTTTTTGTTAGTTCTGTTTGTGTATAGATTTTACATATAATGTTGAACTTCAGATACTCAGATTATGATACGCATTCAAGTCAAATATTAGAAAAATCCGATAACTGTGTATCCAAATAGTCTTTTTTTCTGTAGATTCAGTATGTATCTATAGAAATGTAATTGGAAAAATTTTATTTTTTAAATTCCACTATTTTTCTTTCTACAATTATTCTTTAGTTAAAAAAATCTGATGTAGAAACCACATGACTTATACATACGTTTAAGTGAAGCCAATTGCGACCAAAACGTGTTCTGCACAACTACATGTTATAGAAGTCCCATATATAAAATTGCAGCATTCTGAGGGTACTCGTTTTTGAGTTATGTAACACGCATAACTCATAACGTCTGTACGTCTCGCATAATACGTACGTACACAGACGTCACGAAAGAATCTCATCTGATTCCATTTTGCAATCCAATTTAAGAAAACAAGTTCTTTATTAAGTTCGTGGGTATGTACTTACGTATGTATCTCTCATAACTCATAACGTCTGTACGTATCGCAGAGTACTTACGTACAGACGTCACGAAAAAAATCTCTTCTGATTCCATTTTACAATCCATTTTGGAAAAACGAGTCCTTAATTAGTTCTGTGCGTAGAGATGTCACACCAAAAACATCGTTCAAATGGATTCGAGAGTGGTCAAAATGGTTATTTTCTTTGAAATATGATACCTGAAAGGTTTCGCAATTACAATACTTCTTTTACTTCGTACAAAGAAGTAAAAAATTGTAAATATTTTTACAATCTTAAAAAAAATAAACTGAAATCAAGATATTTGAAGTTTTTTATGCTAGTATTTGTACAAATCCTTATAACGTGTAGGAGAATCTTTTAGTTTAGTTTTACCTGTATAAGGTTAGTTTAGTTTTGCCTCTTACATGTTAAACTTTGATAAATGTTTCGTTTGTTGCTTGACAACTTTTTACCACTTTTTTTCCCTTTTCAGCTCTAAGCTATGTAATTAATTTTAATATCGTCAACAAATTGAAAAAAAGGAAAAGAATTTTTCTAAGAAAATCGAATAAGTTTAATAAAACACTGAAAATATTTAATGTTTTATTATAATAGAATTCGGTTAGTGTTTAGCAGCTATTTCATAATTAATAGTAGGATGCCAGTTTGATTTCTTTTAGTCATTTTCATCCTCAGTATCTTGCAATGCATCGTGTTCTGAGCAAACACTATTAATCATGCGACAGATTTTAAATGAAAGAAACTCATCACCTTCCACCAACCGCCCGAATTCAGAAATAAAATGCTGAAGATTTGAGACACAATTTATTCACCAGTAAGCACTATTACACAGGACACTTCCAAAGATATCTTACAGTCGTCAAAAATCTACAAAAAACACTCTGAAACAATCAGCAACAAACCCTTCAGGCTATCAGGCTGTAACGGTGAAGACAGCCTCACGGCAAAGCACTAAAGTACAGCTCCCGACTCGGTCGATCGCTCTCAAGCTAATCTCCGAACTCAAGTCACTACTATTCTACTACTCAAAATATCCTTCGCGTGCAGGCAGGATAGTTATAGCTTTATTCTACCTTCGAGAACATTCCTGAGGAAAACCGCTAAGAATGCGAGAATGTTCTCGCTCCGTCTATGGCATATCACTAATTTTATCGCCAAGTGTCACGAAATGGGCGATTTCGAGCCAAATGTGGTACGCAAAGAGTGATGAGCATCGTAAGTAATAGAGGAGTAGTGTCTTGAGTTCAGAGATTAGCTTGAGAGCGATCGACCGAGTCGGGAGCTGTACTTTAGTGCCGTACCGGGAAGCTGTTTTCACCGTCATAGTCTGATAGCCTGAAGGCTGTGTTTCTGATTCTCTCAGCGTGTTTATTGTAGTTTTTCGACGACTGCAATGTATCTTCAGAACTTTCCTGTATAATAGTGCTTACTGAAGAATACAATGTGTTTTATTCTTCATCAAGTATGGTCATCAATCACTCCAAACCCACGAACCTGTTGAACGCGACAGTGAGATTTTAAAACGCCATAGATTTTGAAATACACCATTTTTAAAGGCGCATGTATACATAAGATATATATGCTTATTATTTCGAATAAAATCTTAATAACTCTTTATATAACAATTAATCAGCAGACTAACTTAAGTTAGCATTTAATCAGTATCATAAGCAGTTCGGACAGATAAACAAACTCTTGTAAATGTATTAACAATTTCAAAACGCATAAATAAGGCAATGATATAATTAAAATAGCTTGAGCGAGGAATTGTGTATATTTTAATAACGTATTACGTTCACTAAAGTTTATGCGAACTGGAGTACGAAGTTAAAATCTATACATCCCACAAGTGGTATATGCCGATTGTATGGTCACAATGTTATAGAATATGACTAGAACCATTATACATAATATGCATATACAGCATTATTTAAATTAATTAATCATGATTTAATACGCTGTATTTCAATACAGGTAATACGCTGCATGTTTGTGAACAAAAATTGCGTACTACAAAAAAAAAAAAAAAATGAAATAAAAGCCTTTCCTATTTAATTATAGCACTATGGCTACTCGACATGTACTCCCGTCCAGGTTTTCTGCCCACACGCCATGTAATGTTTTGCCCGCTGCTGATCACCAGAACGGTTGCAATGTGGTCCTGAAAGTCTTCTAATGTTGTTGGAAATGAAAGCACATTAACATTTTCTTAAAAGGAAAGCCTCGTTGGGAGTTAGGAAACCTTTGTAGCCATCTGAATAATGCTAATGCTCTTCCCATGTCAATAACTCGAACGACATGTGAGTTCATTATTTAGATAGAGATGTAATTAACAATGTCAATCAGATGATGTCTCATCTTGTTGAAATTTAAAATTTTCTATGTTATCTTTTATTTGATAATATTACACAACTGTAGTATGCCAGAATGTGCGACATATCCATCACAGTGTTCTTGAAGGAAGAAAGCGCCCACACAACCTTTGTCCTTGAAATGGCGCAGAAGTTTCAAGTTTTCTTCTGCGCCATTTCAAGGCTCAGAAGTCCTTGAAACGGCGCTTTTAGTTTTGATGAATCCAGTTTTTGCCTGAGATAGCATATTTCCTGTGCCTCAAATCCGGATGTTTTAAAAGTTTACCATTCTGCACAAATGAAAAGTCTCTTTCTTTCTCAATATTAAACTGTGGCAAAAGCTTCATCTGGGATGCTTCTAAAAGCACAACCAGGCGATTCCAAAATTCATATCGTTTGATACAATCAACTGTTGGAATATTTGCGACAGTTGTAATTTGATTGTAATCGCTGTCGCAATACAGTTAATCGCAGAATACTAAGTTAACGGCAAGCGTAATTTCATAATTTTTGTTGACTACATTCGAAGCTCGTAGCCTTTGCCTTTTGCTTCGTAAGAACCTTTGTCCGTTGTTTCGTTACTTGCCCAGATTTTTTCCATTGTTTCGGGAAAACCTATCCGAGGCTGTTACTTTTTATAGGTAACCAGCGTTCTTGAATCACTGCAAAACGCTCTCATGGTATTGTGCTGCCTTTGAAATGCATGTTGTACAATAGCAATGGATGAAATTTTACATATCCTTAAACAGAAAACTTTTTTTTTTTCTGCGACAAACTCACCCTTTTTAAAATGAGACTTTCTGCACGATGAAAACGACGTATTTTAGACATAATATGTCACAAGAAAGCCTCACGGGTGAATTTAGAAATTCAAGATATTTTTTTTCTTACGTGGATGTCACGAATATGTTTGATTCATAATTTCAAAGTTCCAGAACTACGAAACCCAATAAAGCTTTTGTAATACCCTTGCATTTTATACGCACTGCTTTTTCTTTCCTTTAAAAATTCACCACATCTTTATGCTATTAAGCAGAAAATCGTTACCAGAACGGCATTTAGCACATAACATCTTTTCAAAGGTGTTACGTACAGTAAAATGACGGATTATCTGTCTTTGAAAGAAAGCTTTTGAATAGGGCTTCCTAAATACACTGCTTCATAAAGAAAGCTAAGCCACTCCACGCTATTTGCTGAGAATAAAGCTGAAGATAAACTTATTGGAGAAAATACTACTTTAGAGAAGATCTATTAAATAAACCTTACCTAATTTCTTAATCTGGTCTTTCCTTAGGACTAATGAAGGTGGAAGAAGGCAGTTTACATTCGAACTGTCAGACTGGCATATTTCACTGATTTTAACTCTATTCAGTTCTACTTCTGATATTTCCATAAACTGCAACTCCACTTTGCATAAAATAAATTCTGAATTTAGTCTGAAAGAAAGTGTTAGCATTATAAACGAAAAAATACTTTCTCCTCCTCACATAAATGTTCAGAGTTTAAAGTAATACTCACATGCAATTCAAAATATTTGCTTGATGGAATTCAGAAAATAGTTTCCCTATCTAAAATAAAAAGAAATTACAGTATTAATAATTTTCGATGTTTCTATTATTTCTTTATTATGTGAAAAGAAAGCTGAAATCTGAAAAATGTTTTATTAGAAAGTTAATGCTCTTGAAAAATTTTTATTAATTTATTCATTTATTCAATTTTATTTTCTATTAAGATCAAAATATTTTTTTTAAATAATCAATTCATAACAATCGTTAAGTGATGGAAGTCTCATTTAATCAAATCATAACAATCGTTAAGTGATGGAAGTCTCATTTAATCAAATCATAACAATCGTTAAGTGATGGAAGTCTCATTTAATCAAATCATAACAATCGTTAAGTGATGGAAGTCTCATTTAATCATAACAATCGTTAAGTGATGGAAGTCTCATTTAATCAAATCATAACAATCGTTAAGTGATGGAAGTCTCATTTAATCAAATCATAGCAATCGTTAAGTGATGGAGAACGTGAATTTTTGAAAATATGCGACTTACACAAATTAAATTTGGTCATATATACAGATGGCAAAAAAGACGATCGCAGCTATTATGGCAGTGGAATCTTCACTAAGGCCCTTGACTACTCACTTACATTTAAGATGAAGAATCCAGATTTTTGCTCTGTTTTTAGATCTGAGCTAATAGCTATTGATGCGGCACTCAATGCTATTAAATCTGTAACTTCAATCGTAAATACCTGAGCCTTACATAGTCGTAATGCTATCCAGCACATATGTAATTGGAATAAGACTGATGGCAAAACAACTATTTCAATACTTAATACTTTCTCAACAGCGTGAAATTTACTTTCAAAGGATCTCTTCTCACATTCCCCCCCTGGAAGTTTCTGGCAACGAAATTGAAGACCTTTTGGCCAAGGAAGGGGCCTCTGACTTGTGGGTTTCAAATCATTCTTTGACCTTCTCTGAGATCTGCTCCAAGATATAAATCTCAAATAAGCAGCTATGGAAAACGTTGGTATAACAGGCAGGCTGCAGGTGGTGCCCTTGCCGTCAAGGCTGGTAGATTCAGCAGGATCGCAAGTGAACACATCAGATGTCTCTCATTTAAACAGGGGCAAAAGACCTATCTGATGTGCACCTGCAACTCTGTGCAGGCCTCTCCCAATCACATATTCAGCCGTGCAGGTCTTAACAGGATTGACCTTTTTATCAGTCCTCCTTTGGGGCTCTTGGACTTAGTCTAGTCTGCGGCTAGATCATGTGGAATAAGACAACAATTTTGGTCATTAAATTACGAATGCTTTTTTACTCATTGAAGTCTGAATAACGTTTCGGTTTCCGCTTGAGAAAGAATTTAAAAAACATTCAACTTTTCAATTTAAACAAACTTCTAAATAGTCGATTAAATCAAGGATTTCCAACAGGGACGCTATTGACCCTTAAAAACTCAAATTTGAAAAGATGACTAATCGGTGATGATCAAGGGGTCGATACTCGAATATGTGCAGGCAAACGGTCGGCATAATCGAGATGACAGTGACTGAAAAATAATCGATTGATACAATTTATTAATTGTTTTATTGAATAAAGCTATAAGGGGTAAGTAGTAAGTGAAAAATTACGTATCAAACATATAAAGGAAAAATTCATTAAAATGTTTTAATATATTTTAAAAATTACCCTTTTTATTAACCACAATTGCTCTTTTGAATATTTGCAACACAGTTTAGTAATCTTCACAATAGCGAGTTTTTTTCTATTATTGTATTTAAATTTTACCAAATTAATAATCGTGCAATTGAGTTTAACGTTCATTATAATGCAGTGGTCATTATTGAAGTCTTTAAAAAATTATTGTTCAGTTTTTGACTATTTTTAAAACTGTCTTGAGTATCATTTTTACTAAATTAAAACATTATTACTTTCCATTATCCGGCGAGAAAGATACACCGAAACACTACTTAGTAAGCTGCCAAATAACAAAACGGGCTCCCCATAAAATTCCCGAACAACAGTTCGTAAGCTTCATCAGATATCTAACTAAACACAGATTAACACAGAATGTCTGTAAGATAATGGATGCGTTCGTTTCCTTAGGAATGTATTATCATCTCAATATTGGCATTCTCCCAATTAGTACTCAGTGCCACTTATAATTAGCACTTAATCACGTGTCCTCAAAACCATTCTGTGTCCTCGCAGTATATATTTATCTGATGCACATACCATACATAAAATAAATAAAATTTAGAATTTATTAATTTACTACTACATCTATGTATCAGCTCTATACGCTTAATTTATTTAATGTATTATATTCTACTATATGAATATTGCATTCTAATACCTACATATCTTAATGTGTAGTGTTATAATATTATTACGTATATAATCTTAGAACCAATCAATGTAAATGTGTAATCTGCAGTACCTACTGGTGCAATAGATGCCTACTAGTACATGAAGTGATCTCCCACCGTATAGTAACAAATGTGGGGCAAAGTATACTCACTCATGGTAAACAGACCGCATCACCGTCCTCCATCAATTTGTCAACATTATTTTATGTTTCATAAATTTAATATATATTGTTTATTATCCCAGTATTTAAAAACTTGCCGTTAACATTAAATGGAAATTAAGGCGGAACCATGTTAGTATTGTGGTTAGCAATGTTGGTTACCGTATTAATGGTCGCCAGATTCGAATCTAAGACAAAGCTTCGATGTTTGTAAGTGTGGGAAGTGTTTTTGCATCATGAAAGGCACTTAAAATACTAGTAAACCGAAAGTCCTTGGAGTAGTTTAATCGTAGGGAAAAAAGGAGGGTAAACTCTCGGATCCAACGCCCGGGGGGATTCACTCTCGTATTGTCACCTGTATGATGCCCAAGGCGCACACCAACGACAGATGGAGCCCCGAGCTCCTCGCTAGGATAAAATTCGTAGGATTATTGTTTTATTGTATTCAGGAAGTTTATTTATTACTTTATATTATTTATATATTAAGGCCGTAAACAACAAATTAAGGCTGTAAATGACTGCTCAGTTGCTTTTAAATGTTCAAGTGACTCATTTTAAATTAAAGGTTATTTATATTTATATTTATATTTATATTATACTGTATAAAGTTATTTATGTTTATATTACATTATATAAAGTTATTTATATTATATAAAATAATTTATATTTAAAAATATCTTTCGATTAATAAAATGGACTTGCTATGTCTAATAAGTGATTAGTGATATACTTATGAACTCAAAGAAAGGTTCTTTAAAGATATTAAAAGCATCAGTCCACTAAATACATATGAGAAAATGCTTTTAATGTTTCATAAATTACGATATGTATAGTATAAACTTAAACAATATGTAACTTAAGCAATTTAAATAATTTATTAATAAACTAATAATTAATCAACTAATAACTAACTAATAATTAATTAAATAATAACTATTAATAAACTAATAATAATTTATTAATAATATTTATATTATTATTAAAATAACAATTTAAACTTAAACAATTTAAATAAAAATATATAAATAATATAAAGTAATAAATAAATGTATATATTAGTTATGTAATTTAAATAAATGTAAATAAATAATAAATGTAAAAAATAATATGGCTTATTTTTTCCGACATTAACTTTGTCGCGGTGCAGCCAAACAGGTGACACATAAATTTCATTTCCTTGATACTATATGCTAACACTAAAGCCTAATACATTCGCAGTAAAGACACAAAGTAAATATTCACTTCCTTGATAATATGAAGTACAAACTAAAATTTAACATCTTATTTATTTAACAATTAGTTTACTAGTCATCAGTAAATAAGTGAATTCGTAAAACAGAAATACAAGCAGATATTTCAAAAACTCAAAACATTGGTATAGTTCTATAATTACGCTATTATTCTAAACTTTTACACATTATTAATAATTTAAAATTTTTGCTGCTATTTATTTTGCATTTTATTAATTCTCTTCTACAAATGTAATCTGTTCAAAGATTTTTAAGCACAAAAGAATTTGCCTAATTATTCTAATGACCTGTTTTATTTACATCTAAAAATATGTGTATAAATTACAAATTAACTTGTAAATAAAATAATAATAAATATTTATTACAGATTCTTGAACATCAATCTGAATTTGATGATAACTGATTCTTGAAGGATCATCCAAAGCTCGTTTTTGCCTGGGTATTAAAAGATTTTGTTTCCGATAAGTGGTAGCATCGAGTGGTAAGGTCACCAGATATGACACATCAGCTAAAAAACGAAAATTGTAAACAAATCAGGATTTTGCATATTAGATAATAAATAAGAAACTACTAAAAACGACCTTTGAAATGAGTTATAAACAATTTTCTACATAATTACAAATTCCATTTCTTGATACAATATTTTCATTTTATTTTGTGAAATGAATACAACAAATAAAGCTCAGAATAAAATTTTTTAATCTTTGTCTGACATATTCACTTCCATAATCATGACATTTACACTCATTCCCATAAAAAATGTGGGTAAGAAACAATTTCAGAATTTTTGTCCTCAATCTTGAGTGATTCAATTGACTAATTTTTATATTAATGACTATTATTAGATGTGATCTGCAGTGCCAGATCTTCACTTACAAGGTGCATCCGAAATATGGCCACAACGTTTTATCGCATCGTGTGATGACTGTATCATGGCGAAGAAAACTGTGATATTGCCTGTAGAATCCAGGTCTTCAAACTGAAGGAATATTTCACAGCTATAATAACAAGTCTTACATTACCTCAAACTGTTCAGCGTTACAAATGCTTTCATAATCCTCACCCACAGTGCTGATTCAGTGCTACTACGAATACCTTCTAAAAGTTTTCTTTTTTGAATGTTTCCCGCTATAGGAAGCGAGAAACATCCAAAAAACAAAGCTTATTTATCTTATTAACTTAGCTGAAGATACATACGAGGTGTAACACAAAAAAACGAGACTAAGTGAAACAGAGCTTGAAAACAGAGCGGAGTTGGCGACAACTGTTTTGCTGACGTCATGTCACGTATCTCGTTTATCCATGTGGCCAGTTTCAACTTCCACGCCAGTGTGGACTACTGCGTCATTGAGTGAACACGTGCAACTGCATTCTGAGGAATGCATGGAGGAAACATTTCAAATGTTAACCGAGGTTTATGGAGATGAAACTTTGTGTCATGCATGGCAGTTTTCAGGGGAAAGGGACAGTGTGGAAGATGGTGAACGTGCTGGGCGTTCCCTTGGGCGCCCACCACTTTAATCGTGATTGAATGGGTTCCCAGTGGTCAGAAAATGTTAATCAAGACTACTACATTGAAGTACCAAAAGGACTTCGTGAAAAAATTAGGAAAAAAAGGTACAGTTGTGGAGTGATGGATGGCTGTCGCACCAGGGCAATGCACCCGCTCACACCGCCCTAACTATCAAGCAGTTTCTGACCAGCAAAAACATTACTCCGATGGGGCGTCCTCCTTATTCACTTGATTTGGCTCCATGCGACTTTTTTTAATTTCCTTAAGTTAAATCTTGCTTAAAGGGAATCCATTTTACCTCAGCTGAAAAGGTTCAAGCAAAATCGAAGAATCTCCTGAAGTGCCTTCCAAAACCATTATGAGCAATGGCAGCACCGAATGCAGAAGTGCGTGAATGCTGAAGGGAACTACTTTGAAGATGGTAATGTCACAGAGAACTGGTTCTATAAGTACAATAATTTATTGGACCAGTCTCGTTTTTTTTCGTGTGTGTCACAACTTGTATTTCTTCACTTTTCCACTAGCGATGGCGAATTTGCTATGTTGGAAATGAGCTCTTCCTACACTCACGGCTTTACTACCATCATTGCTTTACTAGTCGGAGCAGTTAACTGAAACGTTATTTACACAGCCATGCCCCAACAATAAGGTACCCTCAGCTTGATGCCTGAATGCGTAAAGGCTGCCTTTTTGTTAGAAAATGATCTGCATGAAAATGCGGGCACTTCTACGCAGTGGGTTCTTTATGAAGGTTTCTGTCTTTTCGAACAACAGCTGAGAAATAGCTGTCGAACAACAGCTATGCTGACAACTTTATGCAGCTCAGCGGGTGAAGTGTTCGCCTGAAAGGTTCGACGTTGATCCCAAAGCAGGTACAATGCATTTTAAACTGAATATCTAGTTTAGTGTAAGCATTTTAACTTTTATTTTGTTTCTCTTGGAATGTAGCTGAACTCCTGTTCCTGATCAAGAACAGAGACTATTCAGCTTTCTACATGTTGTAAATTCAGTTCAGTGGTTTTTCAGTTAAGTAATTTTGTTAGTGTGAAGTAAAACTTTATTGGTATTTTACTGGAAAACAAGGAACATAAACGATGAATTATGTGTTAATTTCGTAGAAGTTGCTTAACTGCTCATGACTAGAATGCACTTAAGAGTCTGTCTAACGATCTTGCATCTTTTACTTATATTGCAAAGGAGTTTTTAACTTCACTTACCTAATCTGTTGCAAGCAGTTCCATTTTTACTTCTCTGAAAATAAGGCGGACATTTACATGCTTTTTCACCACCTTCTTTAATTTCACATGTAGCTCCTAAAACGGAGCATTCACGCTGGTTTTCGTCGAAGCTACAGATATCTGAAATGAGAAATGGACCCCAATTAATCTTATTCAGATATTCGCATGTGCTACCTCTATTTTTTTATCATCTGAATACTTACAAGAATCTTTTGTGCTTGGTAAGTTTATAAAGCAGCAGAAAACAAAAAATTTTAACTATAATACATTAACATAGTTACAGGTTATTGGGGACGAAACTGTAAGACTGCTGATGCTACAAGCTGATACTATAACGCACACGCGGTCATAATCGAAATAATAATTGTAATTGAACTGTATTCAATATTTTTCAGGCTTTTCTACTAATGATGCATTTCACTTGTGAAATCTTTCCCCAAGCACATATACTAAAACCATACGAGATTTTAAAAGCTATGCATTTGTGACGTATTTTACCAAAATAATCACAAGACTTTGTTTCTTCCTTTGATTTGAAATGCTCACTTTATGATGTGTGTGAAAATGAAGCAATTTAACTCTCTCACGTTTTACTCTTTAAACAAAAATTCAATTAAGCAATAACTAAAATTTGAATTGATTTTCAACAGAAAAATGTAGTTCTACACTAGTCTTAGTTAAAATACATGGCTATTACAAATGTGTAATCGGGTTCTGAAAAACTGCATTTTCAAAATTTAATGCATATACAAAAAGCATTGAAGCATGAAAAGACCAGGAAACTCATCAAGATTTCTTAATAAGTTTTCTACAAATCTTCTGTATACAATCCATTACTCACGGGATAAATATCCAAGTTGAAATTTGCAATGATGAAGTTTTAAATAAGCGCTGGCTTTGCTAAGCTGGTCGTTTCTTGAACTCTTAACTAAACCAGAGATGGTCATATCAAGTGGGAAGAACGTAAGTGGAATCATGTGGTGATAAGAAAAGAAGCCAGAGGCATGAGAATGTATGGAAGAAAAACACAGGAGAAAGGTACGGCAGTACAACTAATACATGAGTGCAACCCAAGGCAACAACTGCAGTACAGAAATCCAGAAGTGGTTCCCTAAGAAGAAGAGATATGTAAGGTTGAACCACATATTATTTAACTTTGAGAAATTTGCCATAGAACCTGATATATAGTCTCTGACGAAATGAAAGCAAGTATTCTACATTCTGAGCTTTATACAAGAAGGAGTTCTGGACAAAGTAAGAAACACCGTTGAGGTTACAAAGAATTGTACTTTAATAATTGTGGAGTTTCTTGATTCAAGCTATAATCGAGTTATACCATGTCTTTTAAAGCATAGACCCTTATCTCTTAACCCTTATCTTGAGGAGCAGGAAAAAGCAATTAACTTTTGCAGTAAAACTTATGTTTTATTTACTATATCAGGTGTTACAATGAAACTATTTGCGATGATTACACATATTTTGTCCAAGACGCGTGAAAAAGGTGACCACGGTGGTTAGTGTCAGTGACCATCGCTCACAGAACACATCCCTACAAATCAGAAATAAAGCTCTATTGGTAGTCATGGAAACAGTTTTTCGTTTGCAAGCAGAGTGCAACGTGGCATGTGCTGCATTCCCACACTGTTCTTAAAAGCTTTTTCTTGGTGCTGCAGAGTGTACATCGTCGTGATGTTGTCTTCGATGGCTGATGCGTATTTTCCAGAAGACGAATTGATGCATCAACTACTGGTTTATGTTTCTTGATTGCCATCTAGTGAGCTACAAGGAAACTTCAGAAACGGTAAGTCTTGAAAACCACTCACACGAGTGAGTAAGACGTTCAATAGAAAAGGTGGTTACTGTAGGTGACCACCGCCCTTCAAAGAGTTTAAGCAATGCGATTTCATCCTTTCGGTGTGAGTTAAGATCGTATTTCCTTATAAATTCTCCTCTGCCAAAAAAGAAAACTAGTAAAGCTCAGGGAACACAGTGTTATTGCGATGACCGTTAACAGGGAAATGTTACAAAAATTAGATCGAAGATCGAAACTGGTTATATCTAGGATATGTATCGTATGACCACCACAGCACACACAAAATATGTGTCAAGTGCCAGAAAAATTTGGTGAGTTGCTGGTTCTGTTCATGTATCAATTATTACTGTGCATATAATGCTTCTAAAAATACAGGTTTCCAAATCATTTTCACTAGCCCTGTATATCCTAAACTTCATAACTTCACTCAGCGCACCAAGCATAACGTCTAACAATAAACATATAAAATGTTTTTCCCCTAAAATTGGTGCAGATGTTTTTTGAAAAGAAGTGTGCAGATGTTTTTTGAAAAGAAGTTCTTATTTTCAGCTCTTACAAGCACGTAAATTAACTTCGCATCGTAAGTAGAGAGTTCTTGAAAGTTAGAAAGAAAGCTTTGACAGAAACGCTCATAGTTGTGAAATTTCCTTGCCTGTCTCAGAGAATTACTTTAAAGGGGCGTTTTGCTAGCCGAGTTAGCTCTCTCATATAGAATAATTGAGTCAATACTTGATAGACTTTGCTTTGTGAAATCCTGGCATTAAATTCATCAAAATTTTAATTTACATTTTGTGTTAACTTAAATTCCACAAGAAGCGGAAAAGGCTCTGTAAGCTAAATTAATGCTTTAAAAAGTTAATAATAAAAAAAATTGCTAAACCTTCTTCTGAGCTACTTTAATACATAAGACGAATAAGAGTTTCACTTTGAACCAAGTTTGGTTAAATAAATGAGAGCATCCATATAAATTTTTATTTGAATTTTCATTATTACTAACCTCAAAACATTTTGGGTTTACTTATCGTGAGTACCGTGGATCGATTTACCTCAGATGAGAGAAAATTCGTCTAAAGAAGTTCGTTTGATTCACCGCAACTTAATTCCGACTAGAGTTGAAGAGTTGTACAAATCCATTCGAAACTTAATCGTCAGTTTAAAGGAAACCACAAGCGCCAAAAATTGAAAATTCGAATTTAGCTAGTACATGACTTACGGCATTGATATATATGAGATTTCAAAAAGAAAAATGGCTGTTCTGTGTTTTTTATTGTTATTATTTTTAAGAATTAAATGAGATCCGTTAGCGTAATGGCAAACTGCACATTCAGTTTATCAATGTTAAATGAATTTTGCGTACTACGCATGCCCAGAAGAGAATTTGACGCAATTACGATTATTTTAAAAGAAGGTACGATTTTAAAAGAAGATAAATACGGTGTGTGGTTGATATTCTGTTATCTGGGCATAAACAGTTCGAGATTTTGAAACGTATTATGCTGTAAGTTGCTTCATTACTTAGAGTATAAATATCGATTGTAAATTATGCAAATTTTCGTTTAAGAATGATGACAAAATAGATAACATTACAAGATATATTAACTGAATTTTTATTGATTATACTTCTGAGGAATAAAAGCAATTTCGTATTTACCATACGTTCCATTCGTATATACTTTAACAAATTAAAGAATAAATCCAGTTTAAATTACTGTATTTAAAGTCAAGGAAATTATTATAAATAACCGATATTAAACATAACGTTTATGAACAAAATGAACCGAAATGAAATGAAACAGAAGCAAATGCATTAAGCACAAACAAGTTTCGGTAGCATTGCAATTGTAAATAGTTGATAAGACCTACATGACGCGCAGGCTTTTGTAGGGTTGCTTATGCCCCTTTAATCGCCAGTATTTTCCTCCCACGCCAACGGTAAACCACTGAGCATGCGCAGGATGCGAAATTCGTTAACATTGATCAACTCAATGTGCGGTTTGCCATTACGCGATCCGTTATGGCGAAAAGATAACATTCGATTATAGAATTATTAACATTTTTTTCCTCTTTTCGTATCTTTCTTCAAACTGAAGATTCTGTTAAGCATATCAAAGTGCAAACGTAACACAGATTAGGTAAGAAAAAGATTTGGCATACATGAAGCGGGAAACATATTTTTCTCACTTTGACATATTCCTTGATCTGCTTCCGCATATCCTTCAAGACACTGACAGTGATATCCTTCAGGAGCTGTTATATCCTCGATGCAAGCAGCATTCCTCTTCGCACACGTGGACCATCCCGTCTCATATTTATGACATATTTTCCTTACTGTAACCAAAATAAGAAAAGAGAATTAGCTTAGACATAAAGCAAGAAAGTGATCGCATTTATTTTCTTTATTTATAAGAGGTTTTCCACAGTATATTTCATATTAGTACATGAATAATTCTTTTCAAAGACAATTTAATATCAGAAAGGCATATCAAGTGACAAAACAATTTAAACTGGACACAAGAATCACATACGTGAATGAATTTTCAAGTATTCTATGTAATATAAATTAATGGCCTTAAGATATCTGAAGATTTATCATCAAAACGTACCTACGGCTTTGTGAGATTTGGCATCAAAGACATGTCTTCATGGAGCCTTTTACTAAGCGGAGTCGGCTCTACTTCACGTTCTAAATAAAATGACCCACGAAATTTAGCAGCTAATTCGTGCCGACAATGGAAATCTAATCTCGATTCCAAATATAAATGTTTACGTATCTTGTTTACTTCATTATTTATCATTTCATTTGGACATTTAATTCGTCTTTAAGTTTCATTATTTGATTGACCAACCTCTTGCGCTCCTAACAGCTTAAAATAGTTATTATAAATATATGTATATAAAATGATTTTAATCAGGCTAACTAGTGTAATTTCATGGCTTCTGCTTGTAGGATTCTCCACTGTGTAATTCTAAGTTACAGTTGAATGTGAAGAATCTTAAGAACTAGTAAGCGAATAATCGAGTTCGTGAGACAGTAAATAAACTTGGAAAGGGTTAAAAACCCCTTTATTATTCAGATAAGATTTAAAAGAACTCCGTCTTGGAGTTGTACAATAAAGCCGATACTCGGGCTTCAACTTAACTAAGAATTAAACTAAACTAATCTTAACTAAAGAGATATAACTGGAGCTATCAAAAGTCTAACAGAGTTGGCCCCTTTACGCTAATTGACTTCGAAGCTATCGGGGCCTAAAGTACGGCTGAGTGTAATAATAGCTTAACGAGAGAGTAGCCTAAAATGGCGGACGCGTGCTAGCCAGAATATCTGGTATTTCTCTCACAAAGACAGTAGAACTTCGCGGTTAAATACCACTCTTCGTCATTAGCATTCAGACGTGATTCTAAAACAACGTTCTGGCCGGAAGTGGTAAGTTGAAATTAAGAAGCGATAGGAAAGAAAGTTTAACTCAAAATTTAACTGTTAATAATAAAATTAGTATAATCCTTACAAGCTAATAAATACTTAATGAAAATAAATGGGAAAATCTCCGTTTATTGCTTTCAAATCGCTTGCTTTTTTTAATCAGTAACAAATAGATGAAACATGAGAGAAAAATCAAGTATCTTATGCTTGAAATGACAACACGTGGCGCGTGAAAGATAAAATTATTTTCTAGGGAGTAGCAACACATTTCGGTTAATCGCTGTGTTTTATGGTTAACAATTAAATATAAATACGTTACACTATGCCTGTGTCAGCAACTTAATTTCTTTCGAATCGCTTAGTTTCTTGATTTAATTTGGAACATTAATATATTTTTGGAAAATAAAATTCCGATACCAAGAAATAGTTGCGCTAGATAAACGAAATTTAGAAAACGTGTTTGCACATCTGAAACATGATGACTATTCAGATTTCAACATGCTACGGCTTCTCTTTTTCTGAGTTATGCGAGATACATACATATGTACGTAGATGTACAGATTCTCTACGTACAGACTCTCTTCTGAATCCATTTTAAACCCATTTTATAATCTGCGTTGTGAAAAAAGTGTCCTTTATTCGTACAGATGTCAGACCAAAAACGTCGTTCCGATGAATTCGAAAGTGATCACAATGGATATTTTCGTTGAAATATTATACCCGAAATTGTTCGCTATTACAATACTTCCTTTACTTAGTGCAAGGGAGTAAAAAGTATTACAAGCTGCCACTAAATCTCTACACTGCTCAAAATCTGCCGAGTTTAAATGACGTCACGTGAAAATGTCTCCCCAGAGTTATGTTCCGGCTAAGGTTATGCCTTTAATTAATCTGCATAGTTGTATAGGTATCAACAATTTTAAAGTCTAAGTGGTGCTAAGCATAACGAGGACGACATATTATTACGTTATTTTCTTCTGACACCAGTTGTTACATTATTTCCTTCCTTCGCGTTCGTATGGGGTTCGTAAATTTTGGAGTGAATAACCACGAAACTTGATGAAGTATCCAAACACATTTTTATTTTAGCCAATATTAGTCAGGACAGCTCCAAAACACTTTTACAGTCGCCTAACTGTTATAAAACACTCTGACACGTTCAGCGACACAGCCTTCACACTGTCAGGCAATAACGGTGAAGACAGCTTCACTGCAAAGCACCAGAGTACAGCTCCCGACTCTGCTCGGTCATTCTCGGAACTCCCCGTACTCTCGAGACTCTCCACGCTACAACTCGCGATGCACTCGACGACACACAGAACAAAGCTTCCGACTCTTCGGTTCAGTCGTTCCCGGAGCTGAGCACATACTCTCGACGATACACTAACCGCGATATACTAAGAGACTCTTCGACGCACTCGACGACCCACTCGGCACTCGCTGGCCGGCTGTCAACTCGATCGCCTCTGCACGTAATAACTAGATGAGACAGACTAACTCGCACTAGACGAGGCACACACATTAACTGACTGCGGGCCAGCAGGGTTTATATAGCTTTCGGCTTGTGTTCGAGAACATTCTGGGCTAAACCGGTAAGAATTCGTTCCAGAAGGTTCTCCAACCATCCATGGTATATCGTCAACTGTGTCGCCAAACGGGCGATTTCTCGCCAAATGTGGCAACCCTGCATTCCTTTCCATTTTATGGCAGCCATAAACCTTCTTTGCGCGGAAGCTATCTCACCGCTCCTGTACATTTCGTAACAATATATTTAATTTGAATTTCTTGGTAGAATAGTGAATTAAATCAGTTTGTTCACCAACTTCCGTGTCTTTTCGCCGAATAGAACCACCACCGCCGAACCTAAATTTTTAATCTTATTCACCGAAAAATATGTCTTTCTGCTCGCTGGCTGAATGGCTTATTTTTGCGTACAAACTCAAATGTTAGTAATTAAATACAATTAACTGTTTTTAACTCTATTTGGCGCTTTAAGTTTTTTCTGTATTTTACAATTTTTCAGGGTGACGCTTTGAAATTTTACATATTTTTGCCTTGCCGCCATGTGAGAACTGAATTAATTAAATGAGAAATATGTGTTTAATGAAATTCAAGGAAATATATTTAAATAAAATGCAGCAAAACATGTGTATAATTTAATAGGCCCTATAAGGAAATCGTGTTGTGGCCACATCAGATGTTTAGTCCAAAGAGGCAATTTGCCCAGAAGGACTATTAATTTCGTTTTGGCATTTTGCATTGATTCACTATAAGCGGCGAATCCCCTTTTGAATTGTTGCCACCATATATTAGAGCCCTGTATTATATTTAAAGAAATTAAATAATGAAGAATCTGTATAAATGTATGTATATTTCTCGCATTTTGATAAAACAACGGTACCTAGAGCCATCAAATTTGGAATAACGTACTCCTCTACCGAATATGGGAATCTGGAAGTCCTAATTTCGAATTTGAAATTTGTTTTATTATGGATTTCTTATTTTGTGACACTTAAACGAATTTTTGATTAACAAACTCAACGATTTCAAAGCGAGGAAATTTTAAAGATTTGCTCTTTTAAATACTTTGTAATATTTTTTTTAATTGAGTTTTATGTTCAAGTGCGAAGAACATGATATTTAATAAATAAAGTAACTCCCAACATGTTAAAAAAAACCTTTGGGCGTAATATAAAATCTGAAAACTTTCAGGTTTTTATTTATTTACTTATTTGTCTTATGGTGAATGTTTGATTTCCAGAGATTTCACTTTTAAAAGTAATAATCTGAATAAGAGGCAGTGTAATTTTCTGTAACATAACATTGCTTTAGGTTTTGCAGGTTTGTTTTTTTCATTTCAAACTAGGCAAAGCTTGAAATTCGATAAGAACATTCTGATTTCTTGGTCAAATAATATACTCGATAAGATATTACTATGAGTCAGTTTGCTATTTTATAACCACCGTCAAGCAAACAATAACAGCAAACAAAGCAGAAAAGAAACATCACGAAAGCGTAATCATCGCAATATCCGACTCTGCAAAGATATCGCTATTCAGGTACTAAAACTTAGATAGAAATTTCATGATTTGCTGTTTACGGACTTTTGATATTTTGCAGCTGATATGAAATTTACCTTCGATTTTTCACTTCTTTTAATTTACTATTTTTTGGAATAAGAATATCCTGTAATCGGAAAATAATCCGGGTATGGAAAGTTGAAAATAAATCGGGTCTTAGATTTCTTTATACCAGAAATTTTTCAGAATATAATTTTAAATTATTTACATTTACGCAAATTAAAGAAAGTAAGTAATTTATTTAAATTTAAACTATAATGAAGTAATTCTGATAAAATTATGCAAAAAAATATTCGGTTTTTACTACATATTTCTTTTTAATCAAATAGAAAAACTTTAGTTTTAAAATAGACGCTTCTGAAGTAGAAGTACTTGTGATGCAATAGTTTAGGATAGGAAAAGGCATTTTTTCCTTCTGAGAACTGAAAATAGACTCTTTTATCAGGGCCTTTGAAATAATAAAAGAATAAAAATGGAAGATCCAAAAAAAGAAAAAAAATTCAGAACTTTCAGATTTTATATTATGCTTAAAGAGACGCTTTTTTCCGTTTACACACATATACACGTTCTGAGAGAATTTGAACTAAAAATATTTAAAAACAGAACTTAATCTTTAGAATTTTTTTAGAATCTTTAAAATTTCTTAGAATTTTTTCTGTAGAATTTCTTAAGAATCTTTCTTAGAAAATTTTTAGAATATCTTTTTTATCCCGCCTTCCTAGCGTGTCTTTGTTGTGTAGGGTTCTGCACACTGGGCCGGTATTCCAGAGGTCCGCAGTTCGATTCCCGTCGAAGGCGATTTCTCATTTTTCATCTTGCCTGCTTCC